TCGCTTCGGCCGGTGAGGGGGCAAGCCTCATCCGGAGCCGTGGCGGTATCTTCCTGCAGTAGAATGGGTGCTCTGGCGCTTTGCGTCGTCCGCATGAGCAGTCAAGACGTGCGTCGTCATGATTGAAACGCTCGTGGTAGTCGGCAAAGTCTCCGTGGCGAGATCTCGCCGCGAGGACACTGTGGAGGGTTGCTCTGGGGAGCATGAGTTCTGGTGGGCAGCTTGTGGTCACCTCGAGGTGCATAGGCTTGTACGACTCTGGGGCTTCGGTCGTCCACCATGCTTTGAAGGCATCTCTAGGCTGCTGTCTGGCCAGTCGGCGCAGGTGTGCCAGAGATGGTACGGCTCCGGGCGGCTCAGGCAGCAGGCATCCAGCTTTGGCGAGGCTGTCGGCCTCCTCATTGCCTGGTATGCCGGCATGTCCTGGGATCCAGCGGACCTCGACGTCTCCGTGTGCTCTCGCCAGGTCCTGGAACTTGGTGAAAGCGTCCTGCGACGAGTCGGCTGGGTTCCCGCGCAAGCAGGTGGCCACTGCAAGGTTGTCGATGCATACTACGATGCTTGTCGTCGTGTTGACGGCAGCAGCTATGGCGGCTTGTAGGCCCTCCAGGGCCCCGACTGCCTCTGCGTCGAACACCTCGGCGGGCCCTAGTCGGCCAGAGCCGTGGGCTATGCCAAAATTTTGGTACGACAAGGCCAGGGTGAGTACAGGGTACTACAGAGGCGGCCCATGGCCCCTGCGCTTTAAGCCCACCATCCACTTCTGCGCCCCGTGGAGCTCCACACCATGAAGGTTTACACCCCAAGTCTTCTACTCCATCAAGCTTCACACCCTCTCTCATGCTTGCCTGGCGACTGACGGCTTCGCGAGCGCCGACAAAGGATTATTCCGGGTGTGGCTCGGGAGCTGAGGGGCGAGAGACTGGGCGCTTTGAACGGCCACCTTCCACAATGGAGGCCTGCTGCAGTGTGCAGTGCATACTGTAATTATAATGAGAAGCCAGAACTGCCTCACAGTTGCAAAAAGGTAGGAGCCGCCAGAAGGGTCTAGGGCCGACACCCCAGACTTCTGCCCAGACTTCTGCCCAGACTTCTGCCCAGACTTCTGCCCAGACTTTCCCACCACCTGTCTGTACCTTGGCTCATGCTGAGGTCACGCGGGAAGGAGCCTCTATTCCCAAGTTGACCGTTCATCGCGTCGTCAAAGCTTGCTGCAGACGGAGTCGGCTGAGCCAAACTGCCTCACTACCGGAATGGCGTACGAGCTACCGTGGGAGGGTCTGCGGCCGACACCCTAGACCATCTGTGTCCGTCTGTTCCCCCTCAAATCCTCTCGTGGCAGGATCAACACCGCACTATACGTACGCATCCGAAGATTCGATGCAGGAGTAGACGCACAAATATGTAAGGCTATGTAGTCACGCACCAGGTGTTACCACAATCAAGGCTGACCTAGCTCAAGATCTCGACGGCGGCTTCGAGACGCAGATGTAGGAATTCGTACCACATCCTGAATACTGAAACGACCGAGCACCCGGAGACGTAGGTAAAGGAGAAACCGGTGGCAGTCAGTATGGGGTTCGGAAGAACGCCGCAGCGATGGGAGTCTCAGGACATGGTGGAATGCTTCTCAAGCAACAGGCCGAGAGGATTGAGAATGAAAGGCGACACTTCATTTTCACTCATGTCTCGAGTCTATTGGGGACAGGACCCAAGAAAGTTGTAATACAGTACATTAGATCTAATTCTTCTAGAAGCACGCTTCGTTTGCTGCCGAGAAACTGGCATAGAGGCCGCGCTGAGTTGCACGAATCTTGTTCCTATCACGGTGCTCTGTAGCCTTTAGGTCCAATTTTATGCCTTCCACGTTTGTATCCACTATATAGCGGCGTCGTACGGTCGAGAATTTCGAGAAGGTACGATGGCTCGCCGGAAGTCGAATCGTGCAAATTGCTCTAATGTCGAGGGCGGTGGCCGCAGACGTGGTGCAGCCGAAGTCTGGATTGCCGAAATCACAAGTTCGTTGCTCATCGACACTGATGAAAAGCGTCTGTCGGGGTGGGGGGAGTTCCCGCTCGGGCGTCGTGCATGCCATCACTAGTAACTCTGTGATCCGAACTGAGTGCGACGGAACTTGCAGAGTTTTTCGGGGGAACTGGGTAGCGAACAAGAAGAACCGGAGCGATTTCTAGATCACCTCGTCCCTTACGTACGCAGCCGTTGAAGCCTGAGTAGTGTGAAGCATGTAGGCTTGCAGGATGAGTGGTGTGAAGCCAAGTCGGCTTCAAGGACGAGTGGTGTGAAGGTCCCAGGATGTGTGGTCTGAAGCAAAATCGGCTTGCAGGACGTGTGGTGTGAAGCATGGAGGCTTGCAGGATGTGTGGTGTGAAACAAAATCGGCTTCCAGGACGAGTGGTGTGAAGCTCGCAGGATGTGTGGTGTGAAGCATGAAGGCTTGCAGATGTGTGGTGTGAAGCTCGCAGGACGTGTGCTGCAAAGTTGCCCCCGCTGCTCGCAGGCCTTTCCAGCTCATGCCCATTGCGGCTTCGTGATGAGGGATCCCGCCTCCAGGTTCTGGCGAAACTGCCAGGGCAAGGGGTAAGACCAGGGTGGGCACATGGGTGTAGACAAGGATCGGTGTCCCCTGTCATTCAGCCCACCAGCAGCTTCTTTGCTTCACACCACACGTCCTGCAAGCCTGCATGCTTCACACCACCGTCCGCGAGCTTCGCACCACGCGTCCTGCAAGACTACACGCTTCACACCACTCGTCCTGGAAGCTGATTTTGCTTCACACCACGAGTCTCCACACCATCGCACTTGACACCCTCGCCATGCTTGCTTGCCTGCAACGCTGACAATCTCGCCTGAGCGCTGACAATGGCTCATGCTGGGTGCGGTCGTGCAGTCGGCGGGAAAATGTCAACCCGCAAAGTTGACCGTCCATCATCAGTCGTTGAAACCCGCTGCAGTATGTAATGGAGCCAAAACTGCCTCATATGAGAGTGGGGGAGACACGGCCGCGGAAGGGTCTAGAAGCGATGCCCCAGACCCTCTGTGTCCGGTCTGTTCCCAACCGGTCTCGTCGAATGACCTGGCCCGCGCTCTACTCTAGGCTTTCAAGCCGACGTGATGTATGCTACGGCGCATGTTTGTCCCCATGAAAAAGAGTATGCTGATGCGTTGGACGGTTGGACTCTGACGAGAGCGCGAATTCGAATCCGAAGATGACGGAGGCAACTGTCAAAGTCATTCCAACCGACTCACTCGCAAGGTAATGTCTTGGCTCGGCACAACCAATTGCAAGATCAGGTAGCAAGGCGATCAGTCCCTATTAGCATATGTTGTCGGCACCGCTGGAATTGTTCCGCATATCGTCTCAATCCGATCGTTGAGTTTGACGACAGACAATACCTGCACAGAACGTGCTTCCGCAATTGGCGGAGAATGACTTGGAAAGCCCCATGTCCCATGCACCTTGATGCTCTGTTTGTCGCCCTTCTAGACCAATTCAATTCAGCATATTTCTAGGCGCTGGTGGAGATGGACCTCGTCAACTGGAAGGATGTGGGGTTTCCAAGGGGCGATAGTACCGATGACCGTGAAAATGTAGCTGCACAGAATATCTGGACCCAGGATACGCGTCGAATTCTTGGGCACTTGTCGTGGCTTCGAGGATCTCGTCGTGAGCCAAGCCGGCTCCGTCCAATCCCTTGCGGTATGACGTTAAAGCATTCTGTTGCGTCCCCAATTATCCGCCTTGGTGCTCCTGCCGTTCACGTCCGCAGATAGACGTCATCGGGACCGTTTCCACGCTCCCGCCCCGCGACGCCGATGTTGCATACCCATCTTCTGCTGTTATTCTATCGTTCGGTAACTTTTTGGGAACTCGAGGTCTCGTTTTACTATGCAGTTTACTTATTGACTCTAAGGTATATGTTGAGATGCCCATTTTTGTCATTCGAAATATGCGGCGGAAGGCAGCTGCCACGAAGCGTGGCCGTTAGATAGCAGTTCTGCGGCAGGTAGGAACTCATGCTTCTCGTCATCTCTTAGTTTGATTCCTATGTCTAAATTTCTCTGTACGGTAGAAACACCGCTGCCGCTGCTGGAGTGCTTGAATGTAGTCCAAAGTGTGTATGTCTAACTACGCTTCCTCCGCCGTCGCTTGTTTTTCGTTTCGCGCTTGACGCGGACTTCCGGGTCCATTGCCTTCTCTGGCACCCACCAGGACCTATCTTCGTCTGCTCCGTCGAAATTC